TCTTCTTTTTCAACATCAATTATAGTTTTTTTTGTCTCTACTAAAAATTTCTTCCTGGCAAAGCCAAAGGCAGGATAGAGATTGCCACCCAGGAGTTTGTTAATTTTCCCTGATCTGCTTCAGAGCAAGAATTAATTGCTCCTTCTTCCTCTGCCTTCTTAAATTTCAGATTTGTCAATGTCATTTTTTATTTTTATCCTATAATATGCTGTTTATTTAGTTCTTTGTATTCCAGAAAAATATGCAAACTGTGTTTAAACCTCATGGCATGAGATCAGAGCGAATAATGGGACCCTAAATTACGTTAATTAAATGAGAGCCATTTGTTAGTGATATTTCTTTAGAATATCCTGATATTTCATGTCATGTTTTGTAAAAGTGTTTGTCTTAAAACCTGTGTGGTTTTGTGGTGTTGAAGGGATCTCTGTTTTGTGTTACAAGTTAGAAAAAACTGTCCATAGTCTTCCCTAGAAAAACATATTTCTTAAATGACTCAGTGCTGGCTGGGAACTGTGATTATGAAAGCCATAGGGGGCTCATCGTAAGTATTATTTTAGTTTTGCCTCATGAAATGTGTCAGTATATACTAGGTACTTTTTTAAAGCTTTGCAATGGTCTAGAAGTTATAAATTCTACTTCTATTGAGAAAAGCCAGTATGTTACATATTTCAAAGCAGTAAAATATCTGACCCTGAATAACAGACTCCATAAATAGCTACTCTAAAAGCCTCTTTCCTGAAATAAACCCTTGCTGAGGAGGAATGGCAGTGGTACTCTCCAGTGGAGTGAACTGCTGACATGAGTATTTCTTACCTTACGGCATTTAAGCAAGGCTTGTTTCGCTCTTTGTCTCTCTTCAAGCCTGTTAAAAGAAAACAGCTAGTTTTTCATTGAAGGCTGGTTAAACATATTATTTAGCATTATATATATGTATAAAAATCTCATTGGTCGGAACATATCATATTTCAAAACAATTACAGTCTGTTTCAAAACAGTTACGGACAAAAAGTTACAATTTTTGTCGGTAGTAGGCATAATTCATTGGACGAACAGGTTATTGAGGTATCATCAGTGGCCTGTCATGTATCTCTTCTTCTCTGCTTACAGGGAGAACAACCTGAAAAGTATTTGAGGTGGAAAGACTTTTTGGATGTATTGTTTTTTATCTAGTCCTCTCACCTACTGCTTATAGTTTGAGGCAGCTGACTTGAAATATTTTCACATGTGGCCGAGCTGTAAGGCTGCAAATTTTTTGCCAAGTTTTCTCACACTTGTTATGGCGGGGGGGGGGAGAGTGAATCCTTTGCAAATTAGCTAAATACCTATCAAGTCCCTTGCAGCTGGAGCATGCAAGTCCTCAGATGTACTTATTGGGGTAATTCCTCACTCATTTTTTCACATTATCAATTCTATGATAATGATGAAAGAAAGTAAAAAGAATGAAGTAAGATAAGGGCTGGAAAGCAGAACTGCGCTAAGGTCAGAAGGGGACGACTAAGAGAATGAGGAAGGTACGAAAACTGACAAGCAGGGGATAGAGAGAAGGGAACACGGTCATGTGAGAGAGGGAGCCTTGACCTACAATTAGAGGAGGGGAAAAAACAAACCTGGAATGAAAAATTAATTAAAAAGAAGTAATTACTGAAAATAGAAGCAAAGAAAAATTCCTTTTTGCCTCTTCAGTAGGCTTAGAAGTATTTCATTCCTTGTAAAATACATTATTGATAGAATAAACCTTCACATGTTAACATAAGGTTTGTTTTGTTCATGACATTTTTAGGAGGCAAGTACAAAGGCTATTCCACACACATATAAATGTACTTCTTTTATAGTTATTAACTATAATATTGTATTTTTTCCTCAAAAAAAAACAGATGAACAACTTTTTTTTGAAAGCTATAATTTCTTAAAGAAGAATACTCCTGAATAAATTAGGAATTCTCAGAATTTTAAATGCATTAGTATGGGTGTCTTTATCAAGAGACTAGAGGCAGGCAGCTCTGGAAATTTTCAGTTTATGAAAAGAACAAAAACCAAATACAGCAACAATAGTAAATTGTGCATAATTCTTGCATCTTCTCCTCAGACTGGAATGGGACACCTGCGTGTTACAAAAGAAGGCCTTCGTCTGGAAGGGGAATCTGAATTTTTATTCCCTCTTTATGCCAAAGAAATCCATTCTCGAGTGGTAAGCAGATAATCTTTCAGTAATGCTAAAATAAAATTAATGCACTTATGAACAGTTGAATTTAGGTAAAGTCCAGGCATCTGTCATGGAAATACGCACGTGTGTGTGTTGTGTATATGTGTACACACACACATTTTCCGCATATTTCACAAGCATGATCATCAGGTCCATGTTCTGATGCTACAGCAGAATTACCATTTTTTTCTTAGGCATATGATAAGAAGTAGCGCAAAAAGAAATTACAAAGATCATTGTATGTAAGTAATGCTGAAGTTTTAAGAGTGTGTAGAAAGTTTTTCATTGTTTTTACCAAGATTATTATTTAATGCAGGCTTCCCTGTGAAACTGCATGTTTTGTTTATCCATCCATTACAGAATAGTTTCAGTATCTCCAAAAATAGTGGATCCTATTGGAAAAGGTACAATTTCTCTAATAAGTTCGGTTTTGTCACTTCTAGGACAACAATATTAAATGTATGGTATCTTTATGTGTTTATATAAAATCTACAAGACTAAATAGAAAGAGTTAGGATTTAATCTTGTTTACCCAGACAGAAAATTTTGTTGTTGTTATTGAGTTAAAAAAGGAATAACATACTTGGTCTAAGAAAATATTTATCCAGCAGATTAACTTTAAAATGGCACTGAAAATGGGTATGGTATGAAAGATTTTTATTGAAGTACTGGGTTTAGAGGAAGGAAGAGAGAATCTGAATTGATTTTTAATTATCCAGGTGAACTCTGAAACTTACTCCAGTGAAATTTTTGTAGAGCGAGATCTGTTTCTGGCCAACAAAATGTGTATTTGTCAGAACTATTGTCTGTAATCCAAACTCTCACAAAATAAAGCCATGTTTTATGAACATTGTAATTAACCAATGAGACATTTCATTGAAAAAAAGTATTATTCAATGAGAGTAAAAGCCAAATATGTCTCTTTCATTACCTCAAACATGTAATCATCCTCACCAAGAAGAAATAGCCAGCTATTGGACTTTTCTGAACCTAGGAAAAAAGTGTTTGTATTGCTATAGCAAGAGAAAATGTAAATAAATTTATCACAATGAGGTTTTTAAAATGCTTGATTACTGAAATTTAAGCAATGCCAACATATTTTATGTCCATTAAGCCTTTCTTTTTGTCTTTTTCTGCAACAAGTATTTCCAGTAGAGGAACAGCTCTTACTTAGACACTGAAATTCCATTACTAAATCTATATTTCCTTTTTTTTTTTTATGCTGTATTCTTTTCTGCCTCATAGGCAGTAGGAAAACTATTTATGTGCTTAAATGAATTTCCCTGGTGGTTGTTTATCCACTGAGACATGTAACTTTTAAAGACCAGCATAGCTGATACTTAAGAACTCACTCTGCCCCCAAAAATCATTATGCAGTGTTAAGCTACCATTCGTGCTCTTTTAATATTCCTTCCAGCTCTTAATGTGTTTAGTACAATATAGGAAGAAGGAGGTGTGGCAGCATCTAATACAAGCTTAGCTGTCTAATGACCCATCGTGATCATTAGTAGCATGCATTACGTAGAGCCTTCAGGCTACTGCATGTCTCTTCCCCCTGTGAACTGATAATTCATCAGAGGTTTTTTATTTGCTTGCTTGCTTTATAAAACATTTGAACTCTTTAGAGGCTTAATTGCCTGTAGCTTGATCTCCCAAGTGCCAGCTATATATTTATTCTCATGACATTGCTTAATGGTTATAATTTCTTTTTCTAAGTTTGTCTGTTAGACAGTTGGGCCACTCACAGCTATCAGAGCAGCTTTCTCCCTGGCCTTAATGGTTTTCTCCTTGCAGTCTCCTAACAGCTTTTCTCACCTAATGAGGTGTCCAAAGTGCTAAGAAAATACATAGCAGAAAATCTACTTGCTGTGCATCATCTCTGGAGCCTATTACGAGTTTATACCTTCATTATGAGTCCAACACAGAGTTGTGGGCAACATGGTTGCATCTTAGCTGGTACATATTCATGGAAAGATAAAAGATGAGCATTTATAATTATGTTACTGGATTTTAATTAGTCAGCAACACACGCATGGTACCTGCAGGTCTAGAATACAGTTTATTCGCACTTACATTTGATACTAGAAATTACTTTTTAAATTAACCAGCAGCAGTCAAATAAATGTAATAAAGATGCCCAGATTTGTGGGTCATTTAGCACATGTACTTAAATGTAATATATTTACCTGATCTTTGTTGACCTTCCTTTTCCACTTTGTACTGACCATTAATGTTCATTCTAACACACTGCTTACTTTTTTCCAAAGACTTCCGTTATTTGTGTTACTTCTGCTAGCTTTCCCTTTTTCCTGATGTAATTTACAAAATGACATTCATTTCTTTTGCTCACTTAGTGACTTCTTTTGAGGTAGCCTATCTTCCTAAAAGATATCCTTTTTTTAAACAAAGTTTTAAGTTGGACTCCCAACTGTGTATGTCTTCTACCATTGTTATTAGATACATGTTTGTAGTAAAATTCTTCCTGTAAAACATGTTCAAAATTTTGAGGTTATCTATCTCATATCTTAAGCATTAAATTACAATGGGAACATGGCTTGAGAGTGATTTTCAGAGGTTAGCCCTTCAAGGTGCTGCATAGTCTCTCAAGTCCGTAAGACGCAGCAGAAGCCGTATGTGAAAGAGACTAACCTTCAGCAATATTCCGGTAGTTAGAAACTCACTTACTTAGCTAGGAAGGAGTGTCGCCTCTGAGGTCACAAGCAGGCAGCTTGCCGATACTCTCTTCATATCCTGTATTCCCTGATAACTCTGGCAACTGAGATCTGCTTCGGCACTCTTACCAGTTACGAGGTTCCTGTCCTTTAGATAAAAAGTCTGCTTTAGTATGAAAGCACCTGTACTGCAAAAAACTTCCTCCCCTCTTTTTAAGTCTGCTACTGTGGCTACAATTTGCTGATCCAAATGAGCATGATCAGACTTTCTGTCCCCAGATAATTTTCTGGTACTTAAGTAAAGACAGTGGCCAGTATGATCTCCCTGAAAATCAGCTGCATTTAAAGAGCAGCTGATTACATTCAGGTGCTAAATTGAAGAAAAACAAAGAACCCACTCAATACCTTCCTCACAAGGTTTTAGGGCACTTCCAAATGACCCCTGCCAGGTCTCTTGCCACGAACTGGTTTCATTACTGTCTGTATATCTGGTCTGATTGGGCACAGTGGGCAGCTAAGTCTTTCAAAACAGTTACTCATCTGCTCTTCAAGACAAGGAGAAGCTTGGGGAGGCTCCAGCAGGCCTGAAGTACAGAGAGTTTGAGTGGGAGGTCTGGGAATAAGTAATGGAAACAGTACACTGCCTGGGGGGAGTTCAACAAGCACAGCACCAAGACATGAGTTAACACAAGGAGGTGTTTTGGTTTTGGTGAAGTAATTCCATGCCGGCTGCAGTCTAAGAGTGACATGAAATTTTGCATTGCCTACCATATCTAGTCTGAATTGTGGTGAGGTGTGGTAGGGATGGATGAAGATGCCAATTACACCTGCTCAGCATGCCCTGGTGTCCGTAAGTAGCACAGAATGATGGGTAGGCAGGAGGCTCTGATGGCTCTCTGAATGTGCCAGCTGTGATGCAACCTGTGAGGAGAGTTAAGTTGAATATGAGTGCCATAGCTTTGTGACCTTCAGATGTGATTTTGTATACTGGGACACCAGGTGTGCAACAGCACGGGGTGTATTAGGCTCAAATCATGGTGCAGGGATGTGGACAGGCAGGTGATGCTGTTCAGTCTGCTGATATACTTCTGTCACCCTTCTGAGTGGTGGACAGGGAGACAATTTAATTTAGGCTGACGCTCTTATCTGTACTGTCATCTAGTAAAGTCAGCTTTGAGCTAGCCAAGTTTCTCCATCACCCACTGTGAATTTCTTTGCCGGGAGAGTCAGTGCCATGTGCCAAGATCAAGCCAAAGCATGCAGGCTGCATGGACCACTGAGGAAGCAGAACACACGTGCATGTTTCTCACGAAGTTAATATGACAGTATAAATTTGTAAAGTGGGGTACTCGCACTTCAATTAAATGGCCATCTTCTGCGAATCTCAATTATGTATTGAAATGTAGTAAATCTAGTACTTAAGCATTTTTTACCAAAAGATAAAACATTAGCAACCATGTTCATTGGGCCAGTAACACAGATTTTGTTCATCTGAAGTATTCTCTAATTTTTTTCTTAGTTTAAATCTGATTTGCCCAGATTACTTGATGGCATCTGTGGATGGTTTTGTAGCTGCAAAGCTCTTCCAGTGACTGAGTTAATATAAACACTGGATTAAATTTTGAAAATTGTTAACAAGTCTAATTATTCTGCTGAATCTACTTTTTTTTTTTTCCTCCATAATTCAGGACTCATCACTGCTTCTCCAGTCTACTCACAATGTGACTGTGAACGCTCGCAATTCAAATGGGGAAGTCACAGGCAGGTTAAATGTGGGTAAGTCTTAAGTGATTTTTCTTTGTTCACTGTTTTGAAAACATTGTTGTGAATATTTGCAAGGGGCTTCGAGGATATAAAGCACTAAACACGTTATTATTTTTTTACTGTTATGGCCATATTTGAATAGTCTGGCTGCCACTCAATAAGTACCAACAGTATATTTTCAATTTCTCAGTTAAGCATTAATTCTGTAAATATTTGAAGCACTTCTTTATTGCAGAGTTATGCAGGAAGGGTCACTGCAGAAGTTACTCTTTTTCTTGTGTAAGTATCTTGATAGTTGCAAATAATTTTCTAAGAAAATACAACAGGAGAACATGGCTAGAGAGGTCTGTCTGTCTTTCTTCATTTCCTGGTATTCCAGAGACTAATACATTTGAGCAGCTGTCCTAAAAAAAATGCCAGTTCACAAGCTGGAAATGTACATGTTTTACTACGTTTGGTGGCAGTTAAGATACATTGGTTTACTGGGTGAAATCAATAGATCTAGATAGATCTAGGTGATTGATCTTGGCAGCAAGGATAAGCAGTCCTTAATCATTAAATTGTTATTTTTAAGGCAAGAAAGGCAACAATATGTGTCAGATACAACAGAATTTTTCTTAGTTTTGTTAATTTTTTTCAACCTTCATTTGACTTTGGAGAAAAATATAACAATTTAATAACTTGTTTCTTCTAAGATCCTCATGCAGCAAAGCATAAATTCCTACTTATTTAACTGTTAAGACTAACCTGATATGCTTAAAGAGTTAACTAGACTGGGACCCAGATGAGCACTGATGAGCAGCTTCTCCATGCTGATGGGTCTGTGTAACTCCTGTGACATTTCCTAGTTGAAGAATTATCATATCAATTCATTGAACTTTTTGCAAGCTTCACTGTTTCCAAACAAACTTCAAACAAAAAATGTAATTTAAAACTTACAAAGGAACCTGCTATTCCCCTTAAAAATGTGTAAGTATACAAATTAATCACAATTTGGCCTTTAAAACTTTTCAGATGTCTTTTTTTTTAATTCAAGCTATTCATAAAGATCTGAATTACTTCTCTTATCTAAACAAAATAGTAGCATTCATACCTCATTTTGATAATAACTAAGGGTATGAAATGCACAGTTTCATATTATTAGTAAAGTTATTAAATTAGTTTGCAGTAATTAACTATACAGTGATCACATGACCAAAACCGAACACATCATGTGGTCAAAATGTATGATGTGGCACATATGCTGTTGATGCTGTCTGCTCCGTACTGTTTGTGGGTGCCCATCATGGGACCAGATGTGTATCTGCACCGTCATTGTGTGCCCGTCCTGTCTGATGAGCAGTTCTTGGGAGGTCCTTTGGGAAGGGCAGACCGCAGAGCAGATCACTGACCACCACACTAATTTGTCCAACCTGATCCCTGCCAAAGGCTGAGAAACTTACAGGTAAAACCATGTTAGACAGTAGCCCAAAGGCCGGATGAATAGTTTGACAGACTGTGTCCCGCCTGTGTGACCTAGAACTGTGAGTGGGAAAGGTATGCTGTAAAGAGGTTCATGAATATTTGCTCCCGTGTTGTATTTAGGCACTTACCAGAGAGTGGCCCCATCATTAACAGGTGCTTTTGCATGAAAGTGAAAAAAGCTGCACTGATTTCTGCTGAACTCAGTTCTGTCACCATATTCTAATATACTCATTATGCCCTTCGGGGAGTGTGTCCCTATGGAAATAAGGCACCTCCATATTTCAGGCTGGAAACATGACATACCTTTGGCAGGTGGAAGGTGCACTGCTTCTCAGACAATGTTTCTGCATGAACAATTAAGAAACTTTGTTGGGGAAAAACTGTCAGCACTGAAGAGTGATCTAGACAAATTGCCCGTTTGGACTTTGGCACCTGTAGTGTAACTGAGGTCCATAAATGAGCAGTCTAAGATATTCACCCATAGTGTATCTTCCCTGTTAACAACAAGAACTTCAGTGCTGAAGCAGTGTAAAGGATATATTTTCCTGAAAGGAAGGATATTTCAGTTCTTGTGCCAGCCAACGGGTATAGATCTTACCTTAGGAAAATGAAGCCTGGCAAAAGTAACAACAAATCGCAGACCATCTTTTTCTTTATTTTTCTCCCTTCTCAGTCACCACTTCGTCTTCTCCTGAGAACATTAACAAAGCAGTACAGAAAGTGAGATGGAATGTGCTGCCTTAAATAAATAGAAAGTTAAAAATATCTGCTCTGTAGGGCTAGAGACAATCTAGATGGAAGAAAACTTGTGAACTGAAGACCTGATAGACAGAGAAGTCAGTTCAAACCCATGCTGTAGAATATGGACTGTGGTGTTTAAGGGGGAGAGTTCTGCTGGATGGGAACTGTCTCGTCAGTAGTGACTCATTTATAGCAAGTACCACCCATATGTAGTATTTCCCCTTCTTATTAGTAGATTAATTCTGTTTTTCCAGTTTTCATGGCCTGCCCTATCTTGCTCTGTTCCCAGCAACAGGCAGTTCAGTGGTTTTTGTACCTCACGATGTCAAGCCTCTCTAACCTTTTCCTAAGGGAAAGCCAAATACTTAGTGTTACTCAGACAAAAAGTTGTCTGGCTGTGCACAGGCTCTATCTGGCTTAGGCAATATATGAGGAAACTGGTAGGAAGGAGCAGAGTGTAGACTGGAAGACCTGCATCTCAAATCTTCTAAAAGTGTTCAGTGTATAAAGGCAATTCAGATTCAGGGAGGGAAGTTCTGACAGCCCTCTGGCTTGCTCTACAAGAAATACTTAGGTAGGAGGGTAAAGTAATGATTTGAGCCTGGGAAGATCAAAACTACATCAAAAGGAGTGCTAAAGTGTATTTGCATATTATTTGATGTTTAAGTAATCACTTTTTGATGGGCAGTTCTATTTATTTAATTCATTAATAGTTGGTCTTCTGCGCTGTCTGGTGTACTTGGTACCATTGTAAATACTAACATGAAATATTACTGATATTAAATTGTACTAATTTTAGACTGATAGAAAAGTGTTGAAGGAGCAGTAAAAACTTAACGCTGTAAAGAACCCTGTTAATACCTAAAGATACGGCCAAACAACAGCTACTGCGATAAGTGACAGTCTGTTGAAGTAAATGACGATCTATACCTAGCTTGGTATTTTTAGCCATTGTCCTTAGCCAGTCATAAAATGCATGCATGTAAGGTGATGTTCCCTTACAAGAAGTGTGAAAGATAGGTGTGGGGCTGATTTACTTCCTATGCATAAGCCTTTGGTAAAGAATGAATGCCTTCCACAGTTGCCACCATGCTGGAATTATGTCTTAATAGTCATATTCATCTTATAAATCTGAGTAGTTGCCATTGTGAAGGAGCTGTATAGATAAGTTTGGGATCGTTCCAAAGATGACAGTATAATCTAGTATCACTCGTAAGTTCATAAAAAAAATACCTTTTAACACGTAGAAGATTGTGATTCAAATGATCTGTTAAAATATTTTAGTAAGTTGCTAAGAGTGATTTAAATACCCAGTCTTCACAGAAGTAATTCACGAGAGAGATGTCAAACAAATCTTCACTTGAGGAGTTTCTATGAAATTCCTCACATGAGGATAACAGGCACATACTACGCAAGAATGAAAAAGGTTTCCCTCATGAATCACAGGTATACTAAAATGACATAAAATGCAAGCAACTTCCACCACAAGCACTCTTGTTTCAAAGTTTCTACATGCTCCTCAGTGTACCTGAATGACAGACATCTTGCAGGAGTTATCTGGACATTGTAGCGCTCTAAAAAAAAAATGCTGTAGATCTTCTTGTGGTTTGGACTGTGTTTCATAATTACGCTGCTTTCAGAAGCCTCACTGAATGCAAATACACTTAACTGCTTGCCAGGAAAAGAATACTTTCAAAATAATAGGGATCATAACTGAAAGAATCAAACCAGTTCCGTGCTTTATTCTTTTTTTCACTTCAGTATCCCTCTGGATGACAGATACCCATTTTGCTGCAGTTACTCTTGAAAATAATTTGAAATGTATGACCAAGGAAACTCACATTAAAACCAAGTAAATAATTAAAAAAAAATTTAAAGCAAAAAAGGAAATGGGATTTCTAGTTAAGGGATTATGGGGATGTGATTGCTTTGGGAATATATTTGGGAGAAATGGGACTTAAAAAAAGGATGTTGGCAAACAGACAGCAAGGAAAGAATGTAAGCAAGGTACAGGATAGAGAGTCAGAGGAAATTTAGAAAGCCATGGAGAGAGATGCTTATAGGCAAGGATGTCTACAGAACAGAGAGTAACTATTTTAATTAGAATAGCTCCTGCCTTTAAAATAATGAATAAGATTCAGATGTCATTATCACAGCTTGCTCATCAAACTTCAAAACTGAAATACCTAGAACTTTCTTTGATAATCCAAGAAAGCAGCTGAAGAAAGCTGCTACCCATCATCTCCAAGATTGCTGTTCTTACTACTTGAAAGCCTTACTCGATCCTAGAATAAAAAAGAAATGTAGCACCCAGAGCCATAATAAAGCAACTTACTGTAAAAAATTATCAAAATTTTCCAATAATGAATAATAACAAATATATAATCTATAGAAAAGAAACATATAGAGTATATAATCAATTATCAAATACTTAAGAGCAACATTGGTATCAAACAGCGAATGATGCTTCACCGAAGTAAATGTTAAAGAAATCTCTTTACCCTAGGTCTCCCGCAGCAGAGTCTCAGACTTCCGATCTTATAAAAATAATTAATTTATTTGGATGGTACAGCAGAATGACAGCTCGAGCTGGGTGCCTCCGGAGAGGGACCCTGAAACAAAGAAACCCTGGGTTTTTAAACCCTTACAATCTATGCACCCCCTCTCCACGCGCCCTTCACGCACCTCTTGGTCCAATGGTCAGTCTCTTCACGCGCTGTCCACGCGCCCCGTGGTCCAATGGTAACTCGTGGTCTGGGGGCTCAGCTGTTTCTCTTTGGTTCTCCGCCTCCGAACTCCTGGCGGGC